TACGGGATTAAATAACAATACTGAATGAAGGGCAAATTAAAAGAACATATAAACATATAAAACAAAAGGTAGAAGTCATAATATATCTTTAATGTTATCACATAATTAAAACCTGTTTACGCAGATATTTCAAATTCGAAACCTTTCATATTTACTCATTGCTTACAGTTTTTCTTTTTCTTTTCCTTTTTTTTTTCGAGATCAAAGTGTTGTATCATAATTGTTTTTCAGTAAAAACAATTATGTATTCTTGATATTTTCCAAACTCAGAACCAGATTTCCTTTAATCGAAATCAAAAGCAATAATGTGGAATGTTGCAAATAGGAAAATAAAAACGAAACGAATAAAAAGATGCGAAAGAAAAAAATAATTCAACCAAAAGAAAATCTTTGAAGCAGAAAAATATTTTGAACAAAAAGGTGCAAAGAGACACTTGGAAAGCAATGGAAGAAATTTTGGAAGGAAAAGAAAGAGAGAATTTGTTAGAAAAACAGAAATATTTGGAAGGAAAATTTGTAAAATGTATAAAAAGAAGAAATAACTAACCGTGAATTGTAAATAGACAGAATGTATGGTTGTTAGCATGACGGGTAACCCAAGAGGTGGGGCTACAAAATAGAGACGTCAGATTCATGCAAGTACATAAATTTAACCATCTGGAAAGTGTTTCTTTTCAAAGACGATGGAAAATGTGACACCAAAATTCGAAGGCGCAATAGTGAAAGATGCCTTCTAAAAGCTAGACAAGGTATTAAGAAACAGTAATATTTCATTAGAAACAAGGATATGAGGGCGGAACTGTTATATAATATGAATCCTCCTATATTTCAGTGAATGCTGGACAATCTCTTCTGATGTAGAGGAAACTTGAGACAACACAAATTTAGTTCTAGAGAAGGATACTGAGAATACCATAAATTAAATATGTAAGCATCGATGAAGAAAATAAGAATAACGAGGACATTTTTAATTAGAAGAATGAGATAGTTGAAATTTCAAAGACACAAAATGAGGAAAAAGGCTAGGGGAATATGACAGACATAGAACATACTGAACGCAAGAATGGCAGATGAAAACATCGAGTAACCTACCTAATAAGCTTGTGTAAATAAATGGCCGAACAGGGACTTGCAGGAACGGTAGAGGAGCAGATAAGAAGGTAGAAACTTTAAAAAGTAGAATATAGAAAAAAAAGTGGGAAATATTTAGACAGTAATTATTTGAAGGAAAAAGTAAGATATTAGAATGAAAGACAAAATGACAGAAATTATTTGAAAGAATGGGCCAAAGAAAGGAACTATTGAAAAGAATGAGCCAAAGAAAGGAACTATTGAAAAGAATGGGCCAAAGAAAGGAACTATTGAAAAGAATGAGCCAAAGAAAGGAACTATTGAAAAGAATGGGCCAAAGAAAGGAACTATTGAAAAGAATGAGCCAAAGAAAGGAACTATTGAAAAGAATGAGCCAAAGAAAGGAACTATTGAAAAGAATGAGCCAAAGAAAGGAACTATTGAAAAGAATGAGCCAAAGAAAGGAACTATTGAAAAGAATGGGCCAAAGAAAGGAACTATTGAAAAGAATGAGCCAAAGAAAGGTAGTTCTGAGGGGAAACGGCACATAAAGAAGAATCAAGTCCAAAATGGAACGACGGACATTAATGGTTTAAATTCATATCCTACGTGCCATTATTTATACTTAGGTAACCTTTCATCAGCTATAAACTAATGTCTGAATGATCTGAAATGAACAGTCAAAGATAACAGTGAAACTGACACATGAAATAAACTTATCAACAAGGACCTGCAATAAAAGGAAAGATGTAGTTATGATTACTACTGGGGTGGAAAATTATATATGGCAATGTGGCGTGACAATTCTGTTGTTACAAGTGCCAGCAATTGGCAAATTCACAAGGCTCTTCATAAAACGGCGTAGGAATGGGGGAGAAAAAGAAATAATACCGTTGCATTTAATCAACTCGTATAATAAAGAAATACGGGGTGTTGACCCAATGGATAGCAAAGTTATAGCATTCGAATATTCGTAGCTAATGTGGTCTTAGTCATTTTTCATCAACTTTATCAATGTCTCCCTAGTTGCAGCACGGAGCATACCCAACCAAAACATTAAAATATATTTACTCATTCAACTCATATGCTTCTGTTTTCATATATCTAAACTATAATTATAAACTATAACTTTTAAAACGGAAAATTTCAGTGAAATATATTGGAAACTTGACAAGTTTTCATCTGAAATCATGAAAATACGAATTTTAGACAAAATAGTTACAACACATGGAAAGAAAGATGGCGTCGGTTGAAACCAACGCCAGGAGAATATGACTGAAATAAACTTACAGTAAAAATTGTAATTCGTGTCTCTAGAAAAAAAAAACATTGAAAATACATTCTTAACGTAAAATAGTAACGGATTTCTACTTTAAACCCGTTTTTAATTCATTCTTATAATCTGTATTCCTTGCATTTAAATAGATGCCTTCGTTTTTAATATATCTAAACTATACTAATAAACTAATTTGGAAGAGTGAAAAATTAATTGAAATATGTTGGAAATTTTCAAGTTTTTCTCTGAAATCAAGAAAATAAGAAATTTCAGCAAAATAGGCAAACTATATGGAAAAAATTGACGTCAATTAAAGTGATGCCAAGAGGATATGGGTTAAAATAAAATATATTCTTCAAGAAAAATCATTGGAAATGAATTCTTAAAGTAAAATAATTCGTAATGTCATTCTATAGAAAAAACATTTGCAATGCGTTGCTATCCGATTTCTTCGTAGTACCATTGTAGACTGTCGTTTTCTTTTTCCCCATATATATATAAAGTATATTTAAAAGCGGAAAATTCCACTGAAATATATTGGAATTGTTTTCAATTTTTCATCTAAATTAAGACTGTGCGGATTGTAAGCTAAATGGTTGCATTATATGTTAACGAAGGCGTCAGTTTAAACTAAGGCCAAATGGAAACAGATAAAATATTACTTACTCAAAACTCAAATGCAACGTGAAAGGACATCTGACTTCTCTACAATGATATCAGAAGATATATGGCATGAATCATATTATGGTCAAAAGTACAATGGCGATGCAGATCTTGATAGGAAACACAAAATTCAAGTCTAAAAAGTGTTATGTTCGTCTGAATGCAGTGAGATACAATACTTAAAATATCCCATTGTCAATAGAAAGCTAGTATAAATTTTTCTTTATATGTCTTTATTTATAAGAGGACTTTATTTTTATTCCCGAAAATAGTTTTATTCTTTTAGGTTAAAATGTTGGCTTCTTTTATAGCATCTAGATTTATTTTTTAGTTGTAAAATTAACTTTCAGAACAATCATTTTTTTTTCACTGTACAGTAACCCTTCAATAAACATTAAATGGAATATAAGCTTTACTTGGAACAATGACAAGACACATATCTAAATATATTAATTGGCCACTCTGTCATCATGGTCATAAATTACGCAATAGTGACTCAGGGCCGAATAAATGACTCCACGGAAGAATATCTGAGCATGCATGTGCGTTAGACCAACTTTTAAGCAACCGATCTAAGAGTTATTCAAAATGGTCGGACACGTTCCAGGTCAGATTCGTATATAAAGCTTTTATCACATTCTTGTTATTTATTTTTTTACAGTGTTTACAGGCAAATTCTGCATCCATTCAAATTGATTATTTGTTGATTGATTCGTTTTCTACGGCTTACCAACCCATTGCAGGTTATTTAAAGCCATAATTTTTTTTAGATTCTAAGAATTTGGGGGAATTGAGATTATAATGGTTTAGTGATACAAGTCTTACTAATTAATCCATAGTAAGGGGAAAGAGGTGAATTCATACCTTTCCCAATGGTATTTGCGCGTAAGTGAATATAACGAATCCAATGGGAATTGGAACTCGGCTCTCCGATTAACAATTCCGAGCCGTTATTCATTATACTCCCCACACATTCAAGCTCAAAGCACTTGGTATTTCCAAGCAGTCATTAAGAATGAGTAATACTTTTTGTGCAACTATTGTAATAATTAAAAGATTTATTCTAAAATCGGACATACGTCAAAACGTTCAGTTACATATCTAACAGGTAGAATTTAATAAACGAATACTTCAAAACATTCGTTCGCCCTAATCATTGCATATATAAAGTGAGAACAAATTCTAGCGAAAACAGAAAAAGAAAAAATAACAACGTACAAATTTGTAAGAAAATCAGGCAAAAATGTCGTCAAACATCCGAAGGTAAAGCAAGCGTTATTAACAAAACACCGCTATGATATATAACATGTAAACGAATTGGAAATTAGTTTAATCTTGAATTTCATTGGCTATTTCAAATTATTTAAATATTAATAGTTTGATCACAGGTACGGTATATTAAATACTTCTAAATTATCGATAAGGCGATAATGCCACTAAGACACAAGGGGCTGCTGGAAGTGAAAGAAAATGAAAAGACTTTAGAGCGAACCGGAGGCCCAACCCAAAACAGGAAACAAGGGATAAACCTCTACTCCTGTTCAACAGGCCGGGGAGGAGCGTGTACCGGACGATAGGCAAACCTATCTACTCCTATTGAGGAAAAAATAAATAGTACAATTTCAGTGTTTAGGCGGAGACTTTAAAATTATAGATTCGAAGTAGGTTTTAGAAGCAATCGGAAACCCAATCCTAAACAGTAAACAAGGGATAAATATCTACTCCTGTTCAAAAGGCCGAAAAAGCGTGTGACCGGACGGTAGGCGAACCTATCGACTCCTACTAAATATATTCTAATCATTACATATGTAGTGACACAGTAAACCCTGGTACTAAGCAAGGTGGGAAGATGGCCGAAATCACGGTTGTATTTTTACACAGACTGCATTAGAACGTCCATATGCATGGCTCAGATGTTGGCTTCTCTTATCGGAAACTATTCAACAATTTTGAATATCTCAAGATCCGCCTGCTACCTTACTTCGCCATCATGAACCGGCACTCTCCTATGTTGTACCTCATACAGTCAAAAACGGTCATATTGTGTGACCGTCGCATTCATGCCGAATATGTATCAACTGCTAATGAAATGCCACCAGCGTGGGTATCTGTCTTGCGGGAGCATCACATTCATAGTGAATATGCACCAAGTGGTAATGAAGCACTACCGAGGTGAGCATGTGTATTGTGTGACCATCGCATTCATGACGAATATACATCATGTTTTGCGTGAAACGTGGATATTACCCACAGAAAATATTCGAAGGATTAAGAAAATTCGTCATGGGTTATTCAATGAACGAAACCCATTGTAAAGTTTGGTTTGACGCTTCAAACTTGGTTGGAAATTCTTTAAAAAACTATCCTCTTTCCGGAGTGCCTCAATAAGCAAAATACTCGGAAATGTTGAAAGCGTACAAACTTACACCGAAGAAACAGAACCTCTGGAGAATATCCAGCCATTTTGAATACACTGACTTCCTGTTCGTCATGTGTCGGGGTTTTAGACAAAGTATTGCATGGCCTTAATTCGCCAGCCTCTTGAGTTTTCTAGTATTTTTAAGCTTTTCTCGCCGCTGAAAGCATTGAAATTTCATACTTTGGAAGAGATTAAGGAGAATGCAACTAGGCTAATAATAGTAATGCATAAGGAGAAATTTTCAGGAAAATGGACGGGAAGCTTGTATACGGTATCTGTCTGTATTTTTGAGATGAAGTATTATGTACACTATTTACATTATTCGGACTATTGTCCTCATCTTTGTCACCATATTTATTACAACATTTCGGTCATTGTACGCTCCGGCCTTCTTCAGGTGGTTGGAATGTATAACTGAACCCTTTATTTCGCTCCCTGGAGTAGACTATTCTAGTTCCACGTGCCATATTTAATGGATGTCAGTTATCAGTTATCTCCTGTTAATTTCACTCTGAAAGTTATCCACTGCCTTAACCGGGTATTGAACTCACACTCTTTGGGTTCTGGCACTGGATCTAATTAACGCTTTTATCCAATGTGCCATCTGTACTCGAGGACACATGGCACAGTGGATAAAGGAGTGTGAGTTCAATACCCGGTTAAGGCAGTGGAGAACTTAGCTGAATTAACAGGGATAAATGATAACTGACGTCCATTAAACATGGCACGTGGAACTAGAACAGTCTACCCCAGTGAGCGAAATAAAGGGTTCAGTTCAACATTCCAACCACCTGAAGAAGGCCGGAGCGTACAACGGCCGAAACGTTGTAATAAATATGTCGACAAAGATGAGGACAGTATTCCGAATAATGTAAAAATCTTGTATATGTATGAAAGCTACTAAGGCTAGCTCGGTTACATTTACACTAATTTTAAATGGCTAGATAATTTCTGCACATACTTCGTATATACTAATCCACGTGTATTTTTTAATCAAAAATTTTCCTGAATGAAATAATCATTTATATTTAATGAGTTTTAACTCTTTATGTATCTTGAACCGAGAGCCTTTACTGCTTGACCTTTCCCTCCAGCCTTTTAACCGTTAGGTTGTCTGTCGAGTTTCAAAAGGTGTGATTTTCTGTCTACATCGGGTTCTTCAATGCCTTATATCGTTCGCAATCAGCACATGCGGGAAAAGCGAGCAATGTCAGTCTTTTATACAGATCAATAGAATCCGCAGTGGTTATTGGGAATGCTCCCCCCCCCTTCCTCCTTACTAGAGTTACGTTTCTAGTATTGGAAGGATTTCCAATTCTGCTTTACAGTTATGAATAAATCAGACCTTTCTCTCATAGCTTCTACGTCTTTCTTATTTATTTTATTTTATTTTATTTTTATTTTTTTGGGTGGGGGGGTCATTCTTTCAGTCTTCGCTTGCTTCTAATATTTATGTTTTTCTTTGTAATTGTTTTGCGTGGTTTTATGTTATTACTTTCAGTTTTCTTTTTTATCTTCATCTTCCTTTTTAGTTTTTTTTTTCTTTCTTTCTTTCTTCTTTACCTTTTCTTAATAGCTTCCTTTCTTCTTTCAGTTTCCTTTTCGTCTTTGGTTGTTGTTTTTTTGTTGTTTGTTTTTTTTTGTTTTTTTTTTTTTTTTGGTGGGGGGGTTCGCGGATGTTTAATTGGCTTCGTTCTTTTGCCATTAAAGTTTCTTTTTTTTTCTTTCTTTTCTTCCGTTTTATCTTTTTCTTCTCTCAAGGTCAAGATTTTCTACTTTTTATCTTCCCTTTTTTATTGTTTTTTCATTTGTTTTTGTTTTCTACCGCTTATTTATTTTGCAGATTACTTCTCATCCGTCGTCGTTTTAACTATCTTTAACTTCATGATTGTCATTATTTGGACTGTTTTTTCTTTTCCTCTTGAACTTTTTCTTTCTTTCCATCGTTTCTTTTACCCCTTTGAACCTACTTTTTTTCGCATTTCATTTTTTCTCGAGATTTCTTTTGCCCTTTTTTTTGTAAATGTCTTCATTTTCCCGTTTTATTTTTTTTACTTAATTTTTAAGTTTCTTGTTTTCTTTCTTTCATCGCCTTTTTTTACTACTTCATCGACTTTCGTACTAATGAGATCATTAAAGCTTTTTGTTTTTATCATAGTATTTAGTTCTTTTTCAGTATTATACACACAGTATTGTTTGCTACTACCATGAAAATTATAAGCATAATATGGTTGACATTAAAGGAGAAATTAAGCATATTTTAAGCATGAAGTGAGGCTCAGATTTTTTTTCAAAGCAACTTTATTATGCATTATTAAGAGAATTTTCTTTCATTTTAATCATAATATAAGGCTCAAACTTAAGAACTTATTAAACATAATACGGCTCATCTAAAATTACCAGATGCTAATTAAAAAAAAACAGTATCTTACATATGATAACTGATATATCTATTGTCCAGTAATGTGTTCATTTTTGGGACCAAAATTATTGTCTGTTACGACATTTCAGCCTTCTTTGAGTGTCCCTCTCATTTGATAACCTTCTCTGATTTAATATAGCCCTTTATTCAATTTTAGGTGGTATTCTGTTGTTTTTATATTTATTTCTCGTTTGGTATCCCTCCGGGATTTTGTTTGAGAAGGATTTTCTTGAAAATGATAATGGAGTGATTCCCCGTTTCCTTACTCTACTAGGGCGAATTGAAAGCAGAAAATGGAAACATTGGGTAATCTAAACGAGTTTGTATAAATAGATAACAGAACAAAGACTGAATGGAAGAGTAAGGGGATAAACATTGCCTAGAGTTAAAAAAAGATAAAATGTTATGGATGGCCATGATCACCCATATCCTGAAGAACCATGGCTTATAAGATATTTCCAAGTTCTCTCTTCAGAATGCATCAATTCTTCTTTATGATGCTAATCCAATACTTTATTTCTGCACTACCTGACGCTGAGACTGAACTCACGATTTCCAATTGTTTATATGACATTTTGCGTTATACTTTTGTGCTTAAAATTAGTTTCAATTTCATGGTGTTACACTTAAGGTCAAAATTATATCCTGAATCGAAAAAAAAGTGTAAACTGTAAAATAGCGTGAAAGTTGGTTTTATATGTTAATTTAACTTTATTCGTCAAATTATATTGTAAACTTATATACATAATGATTGAAAGTACTTGGGAAATGAAAATAAAAAGAAATTTAAACAGTTATAGCACATTTCTCTCATCCTTTAATATCAATACACGGAAGGTTATTCGTGAGTATGAACGGATTTTATTAAAAATTAGCAGACATAATGTCTGTAATTTATTCCTCAGACATACCTAAAAGAGAATTTGCTGTATATATATATATATATATATAGAGAGAGAGAGAGAGGTAATAATCCGTTGGTATATAATCCAAGTGAATTCTTTCTTGTCTGTTCCTTATCTTCTCTTTTTCCTTTTTCTTTTTTTTTTCCTTTCTTTCTTTCCTTCCTTCCTCTATATGGCCATTTTTATTTCAATAATTTAGCATCTATTGACTGGTTTCAAAATCCTTCTAAATTATTATTTCACTTTACAAGCTGATAATGATCATCTAATGTAATCTTCATTCCTATTGTATGAAATATATAGATAGATAGAGACAGGGAGTCTTCATTTTTTATAAAGTTTTTCAATAATTTAATCGTATTTTCTTAAAATGAAAATATTTCAAAATCATTGTTTTATTCTCTCTTTGATCGCACCTGAAATGTTATGAAATAATTACAAAATTCTGAGAAATGAAGGAATGCATCAATAATGTGTGTATTTCGTATGTATGGGGACTTCTCTGCGCATTTCCCTGGGAGACGTCTAGCTTTTCAGTACAACAGTTAAAAGATTTCTTGTCTGATTTAAGCCGTATTGGATAATTGTCAGTTGGTGGTAGACATTTGTATTAGTTCATTGCAAAAGTTCTCACTCGATTAGAAAATTAAAACAAAATTTTATATACTCACAAAAAATATTTATGATTCAAATACATAGTCTCCATTATTTTAACAACTCTCATCCTTCTACAAACTTGTTGACGCCATTTCCGTAGAAAGTTCCCTTTTTTTTGTTGTTGTTGATTTTTTTTTTTGGTTTTGTTTTTTTGCTGGAAGAAGGTTTGTGAAGTACTTTTCGACTGACTGTACAGAGTCATATATTTTGCTAGTTAAATTGTTCAGAACAAATTAAAATCTGAAAGAATCAAGTTTCCCATTTCAACTCTTTAATTTTGCTGCAAGGTCAGTTGTGCAACATGCGGTGGAAAATCACACCTTTGCGATTAGTCATAATCGGATTATTTTTCTAATCCAAGTCTCTTCAAATGGCGCAAGATATTCATTGTCAAACTCTTAACAATCTCTTCCGTCAAAATCTTCGGTTTATTTTCCACACTGGCAAGCAGATCGTCTTCTCTGGCGTCGGAAATTCGCCTGGAACGTGGTTGATCGTTGAGGTTTTAGTCACCCTGACGAAATCTGCCGAACCACTTATTTACCATCCGAAGAGCTGGATCCAAATAAACATTGTGAATGTTTTTTGTTGTAGTTCCGACGCTTACTCCTTTTTCGAAATTCCTAGAACATAATATGGCGAAATTCTAACTTTTCATCCTCCATCTTTAAGACATTGATTTGTAAACAAAACAAAGTCTGACTCACAACTGAACGATGTAAGGTTTCAATCTAGAACACACCAAAAATCGGCGCCAAAACAAACACAAGTGTCAAGTTGCGGTCATTTTATATTAACAATGAAAGTCGGGCACAAACTGTTGCAATATTCTGATAAATTTATATCAGTTTGGACAGCCATACTATGAAACGGGGAAATTTTATCTTCAGCTATGATCACCTTTCACCGTTTCGTGAGGATTTTTTTTTATTGATGCGCTCGAATCTTCCCATTTCTCTCTTCCACTAATTTTCTTTCTTTCTTATCATTTTTTTTTTCCTTCATGTTATTCTAAATTTTGTATTTTTAATCTTTATAAAGTCATTTACGGTTTCGCCGGCTTTCTTCAATGTATTTTTTTTCTCTCTATTTTTTATTCTTTCCTATATTCTTCCGTTTTCAGCAGAGCTTATGTCTGTTGCTTTCTTCTTTGCATCTCATTTTTTTTTCCTTCATTCTAATTGATTTCAGCATTTTCCCACTTTTTCTTCTCTTTATAGTTGCCTTCTCCTTCATCTCCAAGTCTCTATGACTACAACCGGTTGTAAAAGCAACGACATCAGTTTTACATTCTCTTTTACCTTCTCTGTCTTTGCAGTCTTCTCTTCCTTTAGTTTTCTTTTCTTTTTCTTTTTTTGTGGTTGGGGATCAAATATAGAACATCATCATATTCACCGTGATACATCTAACCAAATTTTCAACTTAATAAATGCCAGTCAGATCAGGAGAAAACAGCATTCACACAAAAGAAAATGCATTGAGAATGCGCTAATCACACAATCCTCGACCAGGACCATACATAATATCCCCGATACTCACAGGAGAAATAATAGTACAGTACGGTATACGAGTTAGTAAAGAAAAAAACAGATCTACACGGAGCTGATTTAAAATCTAACAGACACCAACAGTGTGGATTGAGGCTCGAATTGAAGATTCGGAGAACCGAGTTCGAATTCCAGTCGAGTTCATTAAATTCACTTACGTGTTAATACCCTTAGGAAAGGTATGAATTTATCTCTTCTCCTCCAGCTATGGATAAATAGCAGGACAGACTGGGTCTTGTAGCCTTCAGTGACGAATGGTCTAGGAGATGGACTACTCTGAATTCTGTAGAGTGTCGTTTGCGGACATTCTGGCATACTGTGCGCCAATTCTCTGTATTCTGCTCTTACAAAAAGTGGTTGGTACTGCACAATCAAAATGATATGTGCGGGTCGTTTGGCTGTTGGTTCTAAGAACTGAGCTGCTTGATCTTCATACCTCGAAAATGACGGGAGAGTCCAGTACGTATATATATATATATATATATATATATATATATATCAAATACTTTCTGCTCTTTGGCCGTCGGATCTCGTAAGATAAATTCATTTAATGTCCCTGTTATCCCTTACACACAGTTTTGTCTTTCAATCCGAAAGAAAGAAAACAAACTGAACACACGTTACGTCGGCGAAATACGTCGTTTAAAAGCTTTTCCACTTTGTTTCATCTCCACACACACACACACACATATATATATATATATATATATATATATATATATATATATATATATATATATATATATGGCATTCTGAAGTATAAGTGCGACTAGACAACCGAATGCCTCATGGAAAGATCGAAACCCAACCGAACGAGTCGGCCAAATCTAACGTATTGTTTTTACAAACGTAAACAAGCGCCGCCAAGAGCCATAGTGTTCCATTCATTTTACTCTAAGCTCTACATATAGTAGATCTTTTACGGGCGTTGAACGGTGAGTTTTTGTTGTTGTTTTTTAAAACCAAGACATCATGAAGGTTTGCACACAGAATGAGACAGTGTTTAATCAATAAAGCTTTGGGTTAAGGATGAAACATAAGTTATTCTGTACAATAAATATTTTAAGCATAATTCCTTTGTTTGTTATTGCAAGTAATTCTATTGTAAATATCACTCAAATATATCGAAACGTATACACTAAGAAATTTAAATCAAATTTTAACTAATAACTAGTTATTCTGTTACGTATTCACTAATCCAATTCGTTAATTGTGCATACGTTAAAATCACGCTGAAGACACCGGTTCTGGCTTGAGCACTAGATGTTAAGTGTCGTAGTGCCTCGTCAGTAGTTACATGGGCCGGAGCTTGAGAACATCCGTGCTATTAGCAATGGCAGAGGTCATATCAGTGATATGATTCGGTTAATAACGTCCAAGTCAGTGTCCTTACCATTAGACTACCCGAATCGTATGTGACACAGACAGTCACGAATTATCTTGACTGGTTCTAGACATTCGATCAAGACTGTCTGATGCTGAAAGTCTATATAGTGTTTCGCAAGCTATGATTGACTATAAATAATCGCACCAATCGGGTTTCCGAGAGTCGAGCTGGGTGAACTACCTCACGACTGTTTGGTGGACATTCTGGTGAAGCGAGGGAGCAGTCATTATATATATATATATATATATATATATATATATATAATGGTGTTTCATTAAGACGGATCAAAGTCAACAGTAAATAAATCAGTGTTATTGGATCATGGTATTTAAGTCATGGAAGTTATGTGTGAAAAATAATATCGCCCAAATATCCGCCAAATCTGAAAGAAAAAGTAAAAAATCATTAGACGCTTAAACTTAATTCACATTTAAAATCGCTCCAAATTATTGGAACACACTTTATATAATGTGTGTGTATATATGTATATGTTTACATACATATAATATATATATATATGTGTGTGTGTGTATGTATATGTGTACATATATATATATGCGTGTGTGTGTGTATATATGTATATGTGTACATATGTATGTATATATCTATGTGTGTGTATATATGTATATATAGATATATATGTATATGTGCACATATATATGTGTGTGCGTGTGTGTATGTATGTATATATATATGTATATGTGCACATATATATATGTGTGCGTGTGTGCATGTATGTATATATATATGCATATGTGCACATATATATGTGTGTGCGTCTATAAGTAGGTGCTGAAAAGTTCTTGACCTGACGATGTTGGAATTCATCCCAGAACCTTATTTTGAGTCATTTAATCATATTTTTAAGATGTAGGTCGAGTCACAAATTTTTCGGCACCCCTCATATATATATATATATATATATATATATATACGAGGAGTGTTGAAAAATTTGCGACTATATATATATATAGATAGATAGAAAGTAATATTAAATAACTTTCAGTGACTGCTGGTTTGCGAAAAAAAACGTACTTGATGTAAAATAACGTAGCTAAACTTTATAGTATTAATAAATATACATTTGTTCGTCACCGTTTGGTGCATACACGTGGCAATGTGCGTGACAATTTCCACGTGCACCGGTTGTACCAAATGGTGACAAACAGACGTATAATTACCAGTCGTGTATATATAATATATAATATATATATATATATATACACACACAATTGGTGTGCTCATTTATACACACGCGTGCGTGTGTGTGTGTGTAAATAAGCTTAAGATACCAAGAGCAGGGAATAACCTTGCCCTATTTATGTGAACTCGAAGGATGTGTCGTAAAATTAAGTACTCTTTAGTTAATTGAACACTAAGTAATGATAATCACCTTCTGTCAGTTTTCCTGCCAAAAATCTATAAATAAAAAGCAATGAAAATATTTACTTAAAAAATAATGAGGAACCCATTTGCAATATCAATATGATTCGTCATTCATAGTTAAGCAATAAAACTACCGTGACGGAAATTACCGTCATCCGCATTTAAGCTCTAAAGTTTTAGGGGACCAACGGAGTTGCTTAATAATTCATGTCATTTAATATTCAGAACCTTCCACTTGTCTAGTTTGAATATATTGATATATATTAAAATAACCAATATGGTACCAAATTCATTTTAAAAAGGTCTTATAGGAGTATTATAATTTTATTATTTAATTTTTTTTAAATTATATTCCAATTGTTTGAATGCATAGAGTGATATTATTCTTTTATGTGATGTGACCATTCAGAATTTGTGCAGTCGTAGCTCTCCACAACTTTCTATCCTTCGTAGCTCTATATGATGTTTGTTTCATTGCTATCCATCCCAGTTCCTGCTTTGACATCCATTCCCACAAGTGGTAGGTTACTCAATGTTTCCATTTGATCCTCTTGCCTTTAGTATATCCTGTGAGTGTTAATTTCTCTAAGCCCCCTTTCCTCATTCTGTATCCCAGAAATTTCAATTATCTCTTTCTGATTCTAAGCATAAATACATTTTTGTTTCCATTTTCCTTTCAACTTTCGATCGTTGCTTACACGTCCGAATCTTTGGTATTCTCAGCATTTCTGTTGCTTCAAGTTCCGTCTTCATCTGCGAGGAAATTGTCCAGATGCTGTATCGGGGGATTAATGTTATATAGTAGTTCATCACTCTTTTCTTTGTTTCTAGCGAAATTTTCCTGTTTCTTAATACTTTCCTTTACTTTTTTTTCGTTATTCCAATGCGCCTTCGGATTTCGGTATCATATTTTCCGTCATCTGTTAAAACATTTCCGTTTTAGTTAAATTTCTGTATTTCTTTGATTCTACCGTCTCCAGTTATTAAATTTTTTTTTTATTAAATAGCAGTTTATTCAATATAAACGAAGTCAAGATTGGTGTGTACACGTAGCGTATTGGTTATCGCCGCGGAATGTGGAGTTAGCGTACTGAGCTCAAATCCTAGCAGAAAATGTTATGTTCGTTTTCACACAAATACAAATTGAAAGGTATGAGTTTGTCTCTTTCTCTTGTTGGCTCATCTAGAAGAAGGATAACTCAGAATCCATAACCCGTTGGGCGTGAGGTTAGGCCTTACGCGTAAAAACCTAATAGCTACTGAAACCATATCAGCAACACCGTAATGCATTGATTCTCAACATGTGTGCCGCTGCACATTAGTGTGCCTCGCGATCCTCTTAAGTGTGCCGCGAAAAGATTGTCACGGCATACATATGTGTGTGTATGTTTGTGGAAGTAGTAATGATACAGTGTTAGTATTTGAATAAATGAATAAATATTAAACTTTTTTTTTATCCCAGATTATCTAAAAAGGCTTTATCAGTTTTATTGCAATTTTCTATTTCTTATTTATGTAAATTAGGCTTCTCAACCTTAAATAACAAAAAAATAAGAAGCGAGAAAGACTACGCTCAACTGAAGAAGAAATGAGGATCTGTTTATCGGACATTCGACCAAACATTGAAGAAATCGTGTAAAAACACCAGGCACAGCTTTCCCACTAAATAAGCTGTACAAACAGTTGAATAGAAACATTGAAATAAAATAAGTTCATATTTGTGTGTGTATTTTTTTAATCTATGGTTTTATTCCATATGATTTAAATGTACACCCTTTAAAAATTTCCTTTATTTGAATAAATGAATATTAACCTTTTTTCATATAATTGTATTCTGCATTCTTTGTTTAATTCAAAATTCATAGTTTTATTTCATAACTTATAAATGTACACCCTTTCAAATTTTCAAAGTGTGCCGTGATATTTTCATTT